TGTATATATATATATATATATACATACATGTAGTAATTTGAGGAACAAGGGAAGAAAAAAGACAATAAATTTAACAAATTAAACTTAACAAATTTGATAAAGAAGGAGCATAAGTATAACAGCGACATCGGTAACAAAGAGTTGTCTTTTTATCGAAAAACTATTTTTTGAGAATTTTCGATTACCAAACTAACAATGAAATAAAATAAAATTGAATATTCAACGGCTACGTTTTTCAAATAGAATACATAACGAGAAAATAATTCTATTTTTGACAGACTAATTATGAAAATTGTAGGGCACCTCACTTATGTTCATTAACTTATATCGAAGCCGAAAATTTCTTACCCTTGAATTCCTTACTTGAAAAATTCCTTACTTGGTCTGATAAAACTTAATCATTTCCTCCTTTATCTTTAATTTATTTGAAAATATAGTTTTTAATTATATTAATTTTCTAAACTTGAATTACATGCAATGTGCTAGATATTTTTTCCTTTTAACATTTTAGAATTTATGGAGAAAGTGGTGAATTTTATAGGTTACGTTGAATTATATTTTATTTAAAACAAAGATATTTATTAATTATTATTTTTTTAATTATTAGAAATTAAGAAGGCAACGATAAGCAAACTGCTTTAGCTTGAAGCTCCTTGATAAGATGTCCGTTTTGACGTAGAAAATAAATAAGAGTATTATTTAAGGGTTATCACAAGCAAGATTTTATTTAAAAAGCATGTCATAACGAGAAACAAAGTCAAAGATTTGCGTAAGCAGCAAATAATTTGAGAACTATATGTTATTAAAACTGTTTATTTTTCTGCTTATATTTTGGTGAAAAAAATTGAGTGTCTTAACTGAATTATGCATCTTTCAAATATTTAATATACATTTAAGAAAAACTATCAAAATGATAATGTGGAAAATTACACCCTAGACTTATCTTTAAAAATGACATTATCGATTTGGAAAACAGTCTTGAATCAATAAGAAACTTCTCATCAGTTATAACTCGAAAAATGCCAAATTCAAGCAATGAAACTAATGAAAACGAAGCACAACACTCTAAAATGAGTAAGTTTTATTTTTAGTATCGCTGAGAGATATATTTGTTAAAATAATACATTATAGCACATATTTTTAAAGTTTTAAATGCCTTTTACTCAAAATAACTAAAAAAAAGTCTCCAAAAAAAATTAAACAATTTTTGTCTCAAATATATTTAAAAGTGCCCCTAGGCGAAAATCGGCAGTTTTCTTTAGCGCCGATGTGTTGCCAAATAAAATGGAGCCAAAAACAAAACATTAAAACATAAAAATATATTATTATCCAAATAAAACAAGTTTTATATTAAAATAAAAAATATATAATGTAAAAATAAAAATGCATGTTATCGAATATAAAAAAAAGAAATATTGACTTACCTGATCTCGGTTGCTATAAATGAAGGAACATCGCTTATCCTGTTGTTCAACTTAGCGGTGATCCAACGGAAAGCACAAAATATAGTCTAACCCAATTTTTATTGGCGGGAAAATACAACAACAATTTAAATAGCTTTTTAAAAAACTAATTCTACCGCATTTTTGTATGTATCTATTTGCATTAAATTGTGTTTTTGGAGGCATTTATAGTAAATTCAAAATTCGCTAAAACTATCAAAATTTCAAATCGTTGGTAAATATAGATAACTAGTTGGCTGCGCCCCCTGCTCGCTAACGCTCGCCAACCCCCGAAAATTGCTACGCAATCTTATATGGTTTGCTTCACAAACAAAGCTCGCTTCGCTCGCTACTAACTTAAGTGCATTGCAAATGCGTGGCATGAACTCAAAAAGTAGGTGGAAACTTCTTGCAGAAATATTTAGCCATGCAGCCTCAATAGATGTTCATTATTGCAAAGTGTTGGGAGTGTCACAAACAGATCTCTCAATTTTATATCATAAATATTCAACGGTATTCATCTCGGAGATTTAGGTGACTAAATCATTCGCTGGAATAGTCCAGAATGTTCTTCGAACCAGTCGCGGAGAATCAAGGCCCGTTGACATGGCGCATTGTCACTCATAAAACTTTTATCGTTGTTTGGTACATGAAGTCCATTAACTGATGCAAGGGATGAAGCTGAACATAACCATTTACAGTCAATGATCGGTGCAAACGGGCCATGGGAGTCAGTCCATTCTATGAAAAAGCAGTCCACACCATTATGGAACCACCACTAGATTGCACAGTGCCTTGGTGATAACATAGGTCTGTGGCTTCGTGAGGTCTACGTCACACTTAAACTCTCTCATCAGCACTGGCCAGCTGAAATCATAAATCATCTTACGAAGCTATAGTCGTCTAGGGCCCAACCAATATGTTTATAAGATCAGATTTTCACTGGACTTGATCGAGTCTACACTCGAGTCATTCTTTTGCTGTCATATGCCATTAATGCCACTCCTTCGCTTTAATGCTTGCGGTTATTTCAAGCAATGCTCACTTTTTTCTTAACACTGATAATTCTAAGCAGACATCTACTGTCTTGGTCATTAAGTACAGAAATTTGGCTACTACGTTGTCCATGGTGGAACGTTTTGTCCGAAATTATTCTCGCCAAACTATTGACACTGTAGATCTATTAATTTAGAATTCTCTCACAATCTCCCAAACGGAATGTCCAATGCGTCTAACTCCAACTTCCATTCCACGAAGTCTTTAAATTCTCGTCTTGCGGTCATAATTGCATCCAAGATTTTCTCAGATGACTAACTTGAACACGAATGTACTAATATATACATTTTGTGTGTGGTACTACTGCCATTTGCAAATTGCTATTCCGTGACTTTTGTGAATTCAATGTATGTTCTATTTCATTTCTAGCTTTTCCAGGAGTCTGTTCACTATTATGTACAATTTTGAAATGAGCTTCATGTTTGAAATATAAATGTATGTTCATTTCTAGCTCTTCCTGGAATGCGCTATCTGTTCACTGCTATGTGCTTTTTTGGAATGAGCTTCATGTTTGCCGCAAGATGCAGCATGAGTGTAGCTATAGTAGCTATGGTAAATCATACAGCAGTCAACAACAATGTGCAAACACAAGAATGCCCCAATCTCATCCGGCATCCCGAAAATATTAGTGATCCAATGTATATAAGAGCAAAAGTATGTATACTATGAACAAACAACATGAGCAAATAACATATTTTAGTGTACATTTTCTTTCACCATACAGCCATACAAAACTGATAACCGTGTCATTTTTATTGAATTTTTCGTGTTTCTAAGAGAGTTATTTTCTTAATTGAAGGCTGCTAAATAAAAGCTGAACAGCAGACTCATTTTCTTTAGTGAAAAAAATAATCTAAAAATAATATTTTTTTTGTTATTTTAAATGAGATTACGGCAGACCTTTATAAAAAAAAAGCAACATTATAGGAGGCCCTTGGGAGAGTACTATTTCGGAAAGTGTATAGGGTGCCAGCCAACCTCGTACAAGATAGCTAAACTTCTTAGAGGCAGATCTCAAGGCATTAAAATCAAATGTTGGTAACCGTGGTTCCGGATAGCATCCATCGGAGAAAATGTTTTGAGGTGAATTAGGAGTGCGGTAGGCTGTAGTGTAAACTCAGAAAAGTAAATTATAGTAAATTACAGGCTGTAGTGTCAAACTAAACTCAGTGGCGCGACAGCCCATAGCTTGCCAAGGTCTACTGCACCCACCTCAGTTTTCTTGACCTTCATATATATATA